AGAGCTTCCGAGCAGTGTGGAGAGCAGCCCGGCCCCCAAAGGAGTGACGTCACGTCTGGGGATCGTGGAGGTTAGTGGTGTGCTTCTGACTTGATGGTGGTGACAGGCAAAGCCACGCTTGCTCTCAGTTAAAGAGCGGAGGAGCTAGATGAGCTCTTCCTGTCCAAGGAAGCTGAGGGCTCCTTGAACCACTAGCTGATGGGGTTGGTTGGTGGACTTGTAGAACAGTGATAGCATGAGTCCACAGCCCACTGTGAAGGGCTGGAGGGAGTAGTGAGTTGTGCACCTCCCTGGGGCCTTGTCGGCTCTGTTAGGCCAAGCCCTCCTGGCTTGGATCTCCTCCCCAATTCTGCTGATTCTCGCAGCTCCGGGAGAGCAGGGCAGACAGATGATGGAATTCCAGCTGGTCAGTGTGGCCATTTCCTGGACTCTTGTGAGGTCACCGCAGGGAAAGGCCACACATCCCTTAGGGACACACCCAGCTGGAAGCCCCTCTGCAGGCGGAGCTGCTGAGGGCCCCTTGGAGTTAGGGGTGGAGGCTTGGAGTGACAGTGCTCATGCCTTGCTTGTTTGATTTCACTCACTCGCAGTGTTGGAGCGGGACAGCAGGACCTTCAGGGTGGAAAACACCCTCTAGAAACAGCCTTGGGAGATGGTGCCCAGCTGTGATGGGACAGTGGTTTTAAGGAAGGAGCCTTTCTACAGCAGCTCAAGGACCTATGTGTGCTTGGCCTCTGCTCTTTGGGAACTGGCCGAGCCTGGTGATCAGCTGTGGATGCTCCTGGGGCTTCCCGAACAGGAACTCTCTGTAGAAAGAGCTCATTGTTCAGTGTGTCTGCTGAATGCTGGGTCTGTAGTTACTGGCTCCTAGCAGCTAGATTCTCTTGAACATAATCGAAATTTCTAGAACAGTTGCGTGCATGTGTGTGCATTTTTTCGTGGTGGTGATGCTGATACCAGGGATCAAATCCAGGGACTGAACCCCCCCCCCCCCCAACCCTTTCTATTTTTACGCGGAGACAGGGTCTTCTTGCTAAGTTGCCTAGGAAGGGCTTGATGTTGCAATCCTCCTCCTGTTTTCAACGTCCCAAAGCACTGGGATTACATGTGTGCTCCAGTGTGCATTGCAACTTCCTTTGATACATAAATCACTTGTCTGGCTTTAGTTGCATAAAAATCTGTGAAATTTAACATAGTATCGAGTGAAGGTAGTAGCACCGAACAAAACTGTTGTTTTTGTAACCAGTTCTTACCCTGACTCCCTTTCCCTGACATTGTTCTCTCATCCAAGAGTGGAGTAAATTTGTAGAGAACACTGCAGTGGATTCTAAAGCAGCTTCTGTTTGGGAACAGTGAAAAGAATTGGCATGTTTAGAATTAGAACACCTGTAGTTTGAGCCCTGGCTGTGTGACTAAGACATTTAATTTAACTTGGTTGGTTGATTCTCGAGGCTTTAATTTCATTAGGTAATAATAATAATAATAAATAATAATAATAAAAACTTTGTTGCAATGGCATAGTGAATAAACTGTATATCTCCTTTGCTGGTTCTTCCATGTTTGTTTTAAAAACTCCCCTTGTTTCCTAAAGATTCCTTGTATTGACCTCATCTTAAATTTTTTTAATGTTCAGATGGTCTCAGCAGCCCCCAAACCCCTTCAGTAATGTGCTGTGGTAAGGACAGTTATTCTGGGTACAAGCTGAGGATAGTAGAACATGCCTGAGGCTGGAGGATCTGAGTTTGAGGCAAGCTTGGGCTACTAGTGAGTTCAAGGCCACCCTGAACTACACAGCAAGTCCTGTCTCAAAAAGGAATTATTCTGGACACAGTGCATAAAGTGTGCAGAGATGCAAAACTAGGCTGAGCTCAAGGTTCTTGGGCAGTGTGGTGAGCTGGTGCAGGGCAGCCACTAGCAAAGAGGGTGGGGCCCTGGATTGCTAGGGTTAGAAACCTGGCTCCACTGCTGTGCATGTGTGCCTCAGAAAGGCCATTTACCTGCTCTTGCCTCTGTGTTCGCTGTCAGAGGAATTAGTATATTGCTAATTTCATCATGCAAAGTTGTAATAGCTGAGATACTTTCAAAGTGCTGAGCCCAGTGTCTAGTACACAGAAACTAAGCTTTTGATATAAGAATGTTTTTATTTGTTATAATATACATAATGCAGAATTTACCTTCTTGCTCATTTTGAGGTATTTTCAGAGTGTTAGGGGTGATTGCATTGTAGGATATCCAGTCTCCAGAACTTTTGCATTCCCCTCACCCAGGCCCTATAGTGCCATCCAGCTCTGTCTCCTGCATTTCGCTACTCCAGACACCTCCCTAAAGTGGACTCTTAAGAGTATCTGTCTTTTCGTTACTATGTTACCCTAAGTCTTTGTCCAGCAAAACAATTGCACTCACTTTTCTTTAGCTGTCTGTGAGCTCATGTTTTTGTTTGTCTGCTTTCTCAGCCCTTAGTTAGTAGCCAATGGCTTTCTGGGGGGGACCAAGATGATATCTCAAAGCTGCATTTCATCCATTTGGAGGGGGATGCAAGATTAGAGGAAAGGAGAACCCGGATGGAGGCCAGGGAGACATAGAGGTGGGCGTGCAGTAAGAGAAAGAGCATCTGCTCAGGGCAGAGTCAGGCTTCGGTAGGCTCCCTCCTTCCTCTCTAGTGTGCAAAAAATTCAAACCTACACAGAAATAGAAGAGGACAACCAAAGCCCTATGTACCTGTTGCCATGATTGACACTTGTATGGGTTAAGGGCTTATTTTCTACAGTGACCCAAAAGGAAGGAAATAAAGATGTTAAAGATGTAGATTGCCTGAAAGGCAGGTTTAATTTTCCTTGTTTACACATTGTATTTATCTCTCGTCTTCAGACTTCTTGTTGCATTTAGGTTGAAATCAAGAGTAGGTAGCTAGGACTGCGTGATTGCAGGCAGGGCAAGTCACTTACTGGGCTTCCTCATTCACAGAGGGCAGCGCAGGTGAGCTCTAAGAGTGGCTGTAAAGGAAGGAGCACCTACCATGGACCTGGCACCTAATAAGCAACCAGTGACTATGCTGGCAGCTGGTTGCTAGTGGTGGTGTACCTGGAAGGCAAGGGTCAGCAGCCAGGTCTTTGAAAACATGTACCGCAGACCAACAAAATATATATTATCCTTGATCAAGAGCTATGACAAGCTATGGGATGGTGGTGCACTCGGAAGCTAAGGCAGGGAGGTCGCAAGTTCAAGCTCAGCCTGAGTGATTTAGTGAGATCCTGTCTCAAAATAAGAAATAAAGGGCTGGGGATGGAGCTCAGCGAAGACCCTAGGTTCAATCCCCAGTACTGGGGGTAGGTGAGGGGGGTATTAACTTTCTAGAATTGTACTTTGTGCTTATTTTAACGACCACTGTGCAGATTCTGTATTTGGGTTAAAGGAATTGATTATTTTTTTCAAAGTGGTGGTGGTGGTCGAAGTACTGGAGTTACTTACTGTTCATGCAACAAATACAAAATGAGTTTTGACTGTAAATTAAATACCATGTTTTAAATGGTACTGCCCATATTCCTGTATCCATGAATCTCTTCATTTTTTTTGTTTGGACATTTAGAAAAAATTCTATCAACTAGTAAAGGAGATACTGTATCCTCCTATAATTTTAGGATCTAAGAAGCAGATGCCAGTTAAGGAGAGTGAATTAGATGTTTAAAAACATATAATTTATAATCGTATATAGCCTTTGGTTTCGTTGAAGCATTTTCAGTGTTGAATCAAAGTCCTGTGCAACTTGTACCTTTCCTATTTTTAGGGTTTTTTTTTGGGGGGGGGGCGGAATCTGCATCCCCAAAGTATGAAGTAGTTAAAAATGCTTATCCATGTTAATGTGTAAAAGTGTCATCAAAGTCAAAGAAATCCATTTGAAATGATTAACAATTGCCTCCAAATATTATTGACTCAGCAAAAATTCTTCTTTGGTTTGTGTCATAACCTGTACAAAGGGTATTGCGCAAAACATCTTCATCAGCATGGACTAGTGCAACAAGACCAGCTAGTTTTTCTCATGCTCAGACAAACCAGTCAGCCTTATAGGTATTGTAATCTTAAAAAATCCTGTGGCTTTTCTTTGCTAAAACCAGTTGCTCAAATTAAGTCAGCACAAGGCCTCAAAATTTGAGCCAAGAACGCTCTACATATGCTACTTTTTTATCTTTTATAATTAGGTCAGGTTCCACAAGAAACCTTCAGTTACAGCTTCTAGAGTGATTAGAGATTAAAATTTATCTTCCTATCAAGTGAAAAAAGAGTTAATTGATAAAATAACTTTTGGCACCCCATTCTTTTGGATTCCTGTTCTATGTTCTCCCTTTAACAGACGCTACATGTCACTGGGGGGACAAAAGGGAGTGGCTGTAGGTATCACTAAACCCAGCGGAGTACGCAAGGCTTGAGTTCATTCAGGAGAGCGGCCAGGCTGCTTTAGGTATTGGCGATTGTCTGTGTCTTGTGTCACTCCAGTGTGGCGGCCCACATTTGTGCAAAGACCATGGCTGTGGGCTGTCAAAAGCAGCCAGCACAGGCAGATGGCAGCTGCCATGTCGGCCTTGCTGCTAACCTAGCTGCCTTCGCTGGGCGTGCCCAGGATAGAGATGTGCAGGAGCCAGCCGAGGATGGCTCGAGGGTGCCTGGTCCTGAGACCCTTTGACCCATCCTGTGATCAGTGTGCTTGTTCCACTACTACTGGGGCAAAAGTAGGCAGAATAAATTAACACTGCTCTGCCTAGTGACTGGCATTGCCCAGGAGTAGTGATTCGTGCTAAGGAGAGGGAGGGAAGGACTTGTGACAGTCCTCTGACAGGCGCGTGCTCCCCCAGCCTTTTATTCCATTGTGCAAGTCAGAAGCCTTTGATTTCCTCCCTCCACAGCCTCCTCTTAGGGAGTATGTGTCCCCTTAGTGACCCTGGGCTCTTTTTCCACCAGTACACTCCCCTTCTCTCATACACTCATCTCCTCTTCTCTCCTTGCAGTCTTCTGTTTGTGCTAAGATTGTGCAGCTCCTGGGGCAGAACGAGGTGGACTATCACCAGAAGCAGGTGGTCATCCTAAGCCAGGATAGCTTCTACCGAGTCCTCACCTCAGAGCAGAAGGCCAAGGCCCTGAAGGGCCAGTTCAACTTTGATCACCCGGGTGAGTTGGGGGAGTTGAAGGGGCATGTTGTGTGTGTGCATGTGTGCGTTTTCACCTGGGTGAAGTGGCAGTAGTTATGTCTCATCCATGAGGAAGTGTTTCACTTCTGAGTCTGTTTCCCAGCTATGAAACAGGGGCCTAACCGCTACTTTGCCAGGTTATTGGGGTCTTACAGGAGAGGAGGGGCTTTGAAACACCTCTCGTGGTGCTGGCTCATTAAGTACCGATGGAGCAAGTCTGTCTTGAGTAAAGGTGACCACCGTGAGTCTTGGACCCAATGGGCCAGCCCCAGGAGTGAATGAATGTGGCCGATCCTTCTGCCTCCTGATAGGCAGCACCCTGTGTCACCCGCTCCTTCCAACCCCACGTGTGGGCACACGATCTGTGTTCAACTCCCTGACCAGCCCAGAGGGAAACGGGCTCCAGGTGGCTGCCTGAAGGAACCTTGCTGACAGCCCAGCTGGGCAGGCTGTTCCTCCTGTTACTGTGGGTTCCTCATGACGGTTGGAATCCAGCCTTCTTCTTGGCACGGAGCCTGTGGGCCTCCCCTAGTCATGAGTGTGTCTTCCTGGTTGCCATGTGGCAGTCCCGGGACAGCAGCTGGAGGGAGAGCGAGAAGAGATGTCCAGGCTGGGAATGGAATGTCGGAGGAGGAAAAAGGAAATCAGTTTGCCAGAACTCATTCATAGACCAGGGAACTTTCGTATTATTCTGCTTTGGGTTGAAATCAGCTTTGGGGTGATGTATTAGTCACTTTCCTGCTGGGACAAAATACCCAACACCCACAATTTAAAGCAATGAGAAGTTTATTGTGGCTTACAGTTCAGTGGGTTGGGTCCATGGTTGGCCAGTTCCAAGGCAGAAATTGCATGATGGGAGAGCCCGGTGGAGGACAGCTGCCCACAGCATGTCAGCTAGAGAAGGCAGGAGCCAGGACAAGAATATACTCTCCCAGTTAGCCCCCAGTGACCTGTCCTCTTTTGCTGTGCCCTACCTCTGAATATGAGATCTTTGAGGGCCATTTTAGGCCTAAACTATGACACCGGGAGGTATGCCTCTCTGAGCTGTGGTGCACGTATAGGAAATACGAGCTTGTGGCGTGTCCTGTGTGTGACTGTAGAAGAAAGGAGTGTAAGAAACATTTGAACAATTTGATTTTCTTCAGATGCCTTTGACAATGAACTCATCTTCAAAACACTGAAAGAAATCACCGAAGGGAAAACAGTCCACATCCCTGTGTACGACTTTGTCTCCCATTCACGGTAAGTGAGCTGTTCTGGGCTGGGGGTTGCTGTGATGTGTAACCCAGAGCATCCCTGGTTTTCACTGAGACCCCTTTACCCATCTTCCATACGGTAGACCCCCGTCCCTTCCTGGGCTGTAGCTGCAATGGAGGAGCCGTGTAGCAACATGTGCTGGGGTTGCACAGTGGGGAGTTCACGTGGGAGTTCTCTGGAATGGTCTGGTCACTGCGCCTCATTCTCTCTGCAGGATGGGTTCATAATTGGGCTCGGGTGAGGGATCACACACACGTGTAGTGCTGGGGATAACCCAGGGCCTCTGTACACTCTACACAAGCGCTCCTCCACTGCCTACATCCCTGGACGTCGGTTCTGATGCATCCCTGAGCTGTAGTTCCTGGAACAGATGTCAAGGGGGAGCTACAGGGACAAGGAAAACTGCTTTCGGTTTTCCTGGCCCACCTGGGATTGGACTGTGGAGAAAGCCCTCAGGGTTTGAGGACAGATTGGTCTTCTCCAGGAAAGCCTTTATTTTAGTGACCCTGATTAGGGTTAGAGCCTTGGCTGGATATTTGCTCTTCCCCTCCCTGGGAGTGGTGGGAACCGCCTCCCAGAGTGTCCACTCCTGGTTAGGGCCATGCAGAGCCAGCTCTCTGCTCACTCTGTCCTCATTTTAACATGAAATCCCTCAGGACTTTGCAGGCACATGCTCAGCTCCTAACAAATGGCACAAATGGCACACGTACGACCATGGTTCCTTCCGTATTCTGGACTCCTGATGGCCCAATTGGTGTTTTTCCCTGCGGACTATGAGAGAGCTTAATCCATCTGCTTTTCATTCTTCTTTTCTAGTTCCGTTATCTCTCTCCCTTGAGCTGATTTTTTTTTTAAATAGGAAAGCAGACCTCATGTCTGTTTTACCAGGTGTTCCTGGGGTTACAGAACATCTGTCTCCTGAACCACACATCTCAGGAAGCCCGACGCATTGTGCACACAGCCTGGCTCTTGCTTCTGAGCTATAATGGGAGCAAGTGTGGTGAGGGTCTGGCTGGGGAGGAGGAGAGAGGGAGGACACCTCATGATGCAGAGCACTGCTTTGCTACTTGGCTTGTCCCTCACTGGTGTCTCCTGATGCTTGCATGAGGTTAGATTCTGCTGCAGGGGAGATGCAGAGCTCAAGATACAACAGATAAAGATGCCAGACTGTGCAAGAATTAAGGGGTTTAGGGTAGGAATTGGAGCTTACCTGGATGTTGGGGGCTGGGAGAGTGGTGACCTGGAAGGGTGGCAGCTAGGGAATAAGACAAGAAAGACACTGCCTGTGGTCTCCAACCTGCTCTCTGGAACAGAAACTGGGGTTTATGGAGAGGTGTAAGAGATCACCACGTCTGGACCCCTGGCACGAAGTGGGAGTGGGTTTGTCTCACTGTTAGCATCTCCTTAGCATTGTGCATTTTACTTCAGCTTCCAAGTCTTCATTGGCAAAGTTACCTGGAGCCGCATGGGGATGGAATCCTGGAAATTGTAGTCCTGCTTTAGAGGGAAGTTGGTGTGTTGAGCTCTCATGAGACACTGCAGCCCAGCACTTAACTATTCAGGGAATGACTTACAGTGCAGCGTGGCAGCTAAGGCGAGACCCTTGGAGGTCAAAAGAGGGAGGAAGCACTGGGGGCTCAGGGAGGGGGTACAGGGGAGGTGGTATCTAAGCTGTCTGCTGGAAAGGGTAGGTTGTTAGGGAAAGGGATTTCCAAGGTGACAGCTAGGGAGGCCTTTCAGGGATCAGCATGGGTGAGCATGGGGCCCTGCAGTGGGCCAGGTGTGGAGGAATTGGGGGTCACAGTGGGGTGAGAGGCAGGAGGTGTGGAGCTGGGCAGGCTCAGATCATGCAGGGCTATGGATGTCAGCGCCAGCAGCACAAGCTTGTTGCCAATAGGGAGCCACACGCGGCTGTGATGTAGCAGTGGAAAGCTCATTCTGGGGCAGGAGCAGAGAAACCAACAATGCCCTACATGACCAAATCTGTGAAAGAGCCCAGGTGCTGGAAAGTAAGGGTGGTTGGCAGGAGTCAGGGCCTGATCACTGTAGTCAAGGAGTGGAGCTGGAGCAAGTCGAATACCTTTTGCAGTATGAGTTTAGTCAAATTCATATGCTAACACCAATGATCCTTGGTAGAATTTGCAATCTAGACACGCTTCATCTTTCTGCTTGATTTGTCTCATACTTTGTTTTTAAACTTTATTCTTCAGTGGCCACAGCCCATCTTTTCTTCTGAGAAACTTTTCCCCATCATCTTAGACTGCAGCAACTCTCAAGGGCCACTTACTTACAAGGTATCCAGCTGTTTGGTGTTAACTGAGCCCAGCTCACCCAGGGACTCATGGTAATATGCAGAAGTCTGTCGGAGGACAACTAAGAATACACCCAGTTGCTCACATTCTTCTCTGGTCTTCTCCTTCCTTCTTGTTGGCTTAGGTTATCTCAAATGATCTCATAGTCTAGACTCTACAGTTCTTACTTGGGCTTCCCAAGGCCCAACTCTAAAGTCCTAAGTGCTGTGTTACATTAAGTATCATTGCTTTCTGGGTAGCAGTTAGTTGCTCAATAAATGTTTTTTTCAGGTGTGAGTTGTTTTGAATATTTTCCCCACCTAGATCCACACAGGGATGAGGGGAATGAATAATTCCAACTTCTTAGAATACCAGCAAAGCCTTCCAGGAAAAGCGCTTATTCATTTTTAGCGTTAATCAGGCATCCTGATAAGCATGTCACATAGTCCATAAACCTCAAATCTCGATGTCCTCTCTGTTAGTGTTTTTCAGATCAGATCCCAGGAATCCCATAAACTAATCCTCTGTGTGCTTTGATGTGCAGTGGTTGCCTAGGAAGTCTTAGTCATGGATCCTCCCTTCTCTGCAGACCCTTACCCTAAACACAGTGGGCATTCATCTTTCACAGTGTTTCTCAACCCTGGCTGCATAGTAGAGACCCCCGGGGAGCGTGTACACAACTGAAGCTCTAGTGCTGCCCCAGGGTCTTCAGATCAAGGTGAGGGTGAAGTGTAGGGTGGAGGCATAAATACTTTCTGAAGCTCCCAGATGATTTTGATATGCGTCTGAGGCAGCCACGGTTTTAGACCATCTCCTGATCATCCTGGCTGGGTCCCTTTGCTGTGCTGTTGTCATGCCCTGCGTTTGCCCCAGTGGTACTGGGCCTATATAGGACTTAGCTGTAAGCCCATGGGCCTGAGCTAAGCAGGAGCCAGTGTTCGTGAGAGGGCAGTTCTAACCTCCTCCTCGCCAGTGGGCCCTTGCTTCCAGCCTCCCCATGTCCACACACAAAGAGCTCTTCTATTGGTTTTGCTCACAAACGTGAGGTCACCTGCAAGTGAGGGTGAGTTAACACCTTGCAATGTGCTTGTTAACTGCTTCTGGAGTGAGAGGCCGAAGGGGACCATAAGGAAGCTGTGGTTGTAGGACAGGATCAAAGGGACACACGGACAGTGGAACGCAGGTGGATCCCAGCAGACCCTGCTCTTGAGACTCCCTTCCTGATCACTTGAGCAAGGTTTCACCCATCTGGCTTTGAGAAGTTGGGTTCACATTGGTCTCTGCCCTGGGCCCTCTGGCCTGTGTGGAGTGAAGATAGGGAAGTGCTTTTCTCTGCCTTGTCATGGAGCCTTGGAGCTAGGTCTGGTCCCTGCCATGTGCCAGCTGTGAAAGGGCCATAGCAGACAGAACTCAGGACTTGGCTCTCACTTGCATGGGTGTGCTTTCATTTCCATTGTCTCCTTTCTACCACCCTCCCTTTCCCTGCTCTCATGTCTGGGGGAGGGATTGGGATGGGAGAGAAAACTTTTTAAAAAGTTCTGAGCATTTGGTTGCAGAAATGGCAGGTGAGATTACATTCTTGCCGCTGCCTTCAGAGCAACCAGAGATCACATCCGCTCTTTGTCTGTGTTCTCCATTCCGAGGACCAGGACGTCTGCCCTCCATTTCTGTTCCAAGGCAAAGGCCCTGAGAGTTTAGACCTTTGTCCCAGCCGTGTTCGTTCCCTCTTGGCCCTGTGGTGGTGGCGGGGGCTCTAGGAGGCCGTGAGCTCAACCCTTTCACCTGTGATGAACCGGCCAGATGGGCTGGCACTTGCTGTCCACTCCCTTGCTCAACGACTGCCGCTCACCGACTGCCCCGGCCCATCCTCTGCTTCATGCTTTTCAGGAAAGAGGAGACGGTCACTGTGTACCCCGCAGATGTGGTGCTCTTCGAGGGGATCCTGGCCTTCTACTCCCAGGAGGTCCGAGACCTGTTCCAGATGAAGCTCTTCGTGGATACAGATGCAGACACCCGGCTGTCCCGAAGAGGTGCGTTCTGAAATCGTGGCCTTGTTAGTGACCTCCCCAGGGGCAGGGGAGCAGGGAGCCCAGGACAGACCCCTGAGCCTTCCCTGGCAGCTGAGTAGCCGTGTGGCCCAGCCTGGCTATGTTAGCTCAACTCCAGGATATCCTGCTGCCCAGATTGTTTGATGACATTTGAGAAGGGATTAGTCACTTAACTGTTCTGGATAAGGAAAGGCCTGTGAGGTCACTGAGATGAAAGAACTTGACAGTCTGGTTTCACTGGGAAAAGTTGACTTAAATGCCCAGTTCCTCATGAGTTTTCCACCAGGCATCAAAGCAAAGTCCTTTAATTTTGGGACCAACCACAGGACATCTGGAGATAGGAGCCCCTTTGCCTGTGTGCTGGGCAGCCTCCCCAACACTGCTTCTTCGTCTGTTCCACAAGGGGGCTCCCGCAGGCCTCCCTGGGTGTCCACCTGTGCTACCCAGCCTGGGCCTGCCACTGAAGGCACGGAGGTGCCCATTGGTTGGTGGCTGACTTAGTAATGCCGTGGAAGAGTGGTTAAAGGAAGAAGGAGAACGCAGAGGCAGACATGCATCCTAGGTTTCACCCTGCACGTCAGATGGAGCCACTTTCATACCAGGAGGGAGGGACACAGCAGGTCCATGGGAGGGAAGAAAGTACGGTAACGGGGTGGCTTGGATTTTACCCCCACAGGCCCCGCTGCCAGCCTTGTGACGTGGGTAGCTCTTGAGTTGGTCTCCCTTGGCTGGGGTCTCTAGAGACTGAGTCAGGCCTGCTGTTAGCGCCGTGATTCTGGCCGGGCAGAGTGTCCTTGGTCCCCTTTGGTAATGATCGAAGCCCGAGCCCGACACCCCCACTTCCCGCCAAGCTTCTACCCCGGAACCTGGCTTTTCACCTTTTCCAGGAGCCCCCGTCCTGTCCTGTTTGATTGCTTGGTGTCAGTTGCCAAATTAAGGAAGCAGTGTGGTGCTTAGAGAAAAATAAATTTTGGAGTCAGGTGAACGGGACCACTTACTAGATGTGCAGCCTTCGGGCACTGTTTTAAATTCTTTGTACCTCATTCTCCTTAGATAATCACCCATCTGTTTGTATTCCTGGAGCAGTCTTAAAGATTAAAGGCACCAAAGGGATAATGCCTGGTGGCAGGCACGTTAGTTGACAGAAATTTGCTTCTGCTCAGGAGGCTGGTGTCTCGGTGTCTGAGTTTGCAGTGGGACTGGATAGTGCCTCAGCAGGGCTGTCCGGTCACGTCCTTGCGAGCTGGTGAGACTCAGTCCCAGGAGTGTCGTGTTGCTTGAGGAAGGCCTCGAAGGAAAGGCTGCAAGGGTGCCTGGTAATAAGAGCCATGTTTGGCGTAACAGGTCATCATGGTAGGGGTTAAACAGAGCAGTTGACCTCCCTTGATTGGCCAGGGCTCCTTATGTGAAACGGTGGGACCCTTGAGATGATGAGAAGCTACCCGCCATCTCAGGGTTTCCTGGCAAGGCTCTAACCCCGTCCTTAGGCTGCCTGGGCAGGTCCCTGCTTTCTCGCCTTAATCTGCTTTTGTGAAGCGCCTGCCAGTGAGTCACCCGGTAGCACTTTCCCACATGTTATTTGCACAAATTCATTCTGTCCACATACGAGAGAAACCATGCCAGCCATGTCCAGGTGGGGTAGGAGTGCTGGGGGTGAGCAGGGGGCATGTCAGGAGCAGCCCCGGGGCTTAAGAGTGTTCCTGGAGACACTCAAAGAGCATCAGGGCTTTGCCATCTGCTGCCACACGCCATGGGCTTGTGACCAGCACATTCCAGGCTGGCTCTCATGGGATAATTCCCCCCCGGGGAGACACCTCCTTCCCACTGGAAGCAGGGCTTGGCTTACAGCACACTTTCCTCCCTGTGCTCTTAACTCCAGCCCACTCTGGAATACAGGGACAGACAGGAAGGGGACAGGGCATTTGGGGGTGTGACACCCCCTGCATAGCTTTTTGGCTCATGTAGCGCCTGGGCTGCTGTGGTCTTGGTGATACTCATTCTCTTCCCATGGAGTAAAGCATTGAGGAATTGTCTTTATTGTAGATCCTTCTAAATTCGCTCTTGGCTTTGGTGGACCACAAGGAGCACTCCTGGTGCTACACATGCGTGGGCATTTGGCCTCCTGCCCTTTACTGCATCCTCCCAGGGGGCCTGTTCTGGGGAGCCTGGATTCTGGTTTTGGGTCCCTGGAGTTTCCAGTTTGTGCCGAGACCTTCACTTGGTCTTGTCTGCTGGCTGTGCCTGAGGACCTGCCCCAGGTCATCCTCGGTCTGCTCAGGGGAACCCCTGGGGAGCAGAGTGGGCAGTGCCTCCTGACTGCTCGTTCCTGGTGTCTGGGTGTCTTCCTGATGTGTTTCCTGTGCCCTGACTTCTCTTCCCCGCTGGTCCCCTGCACTATCTTTGCTTGTGTTTATGTCCCTTGTCCTCTGGCACCCCCTCTCAGTGGGTCTCACTGGCACTGTGCCAAGTTTGGAGTTCTCCCCCCGGGAGCCTCCTTGGGTCCTGCTGGAGTCCTCAGCTGTGCAGATGTGGGACAGGACTGGGCCACCTGCCGTGCTGGGGAGCGCAGGCTTCTCTCACACGGTAGCTTTGCGAGGAGGGCACCCTCACTGCCCCTGGGACAGAGCAGAGGGGAATTGGGACGCAGAGGGAAGCGATGGTCCAGGGCCACAGGGATAGCAGTTACTGCCTCAGGATTCTAGTCCAGGTCAGTGTTACCCCATGCCCATACCCTCTCACCAGAAGAGCATGGAGCAGCATTTGGGCCACAGAGGGGCCTCACCGTACTGTCACACACACCCTGCTCTCCATGCCACCCACTGCGGCCTCTGGGAGGGCTGTGTGAGGAGCAGGTGCTGGCTCTGGGCACTGCCAGTACTGTGACAGGGCCTTGCCAGAGCCAGCGCCACCCACAGTGGGGTGGAAACCACACCTTGTGAACTCAGCTGGAAAGTAGAGGCTTCCAGGGGCCGTGTGTGCCTGTTCTCTCCAGCTCCAATAGCCTCTTGGTCTGGTTTCCTCTCTCCTCCGCTTTATCTGGAGACGAGTGGTGCACAGGCGGCTGCACTGGCTGTGTGTTTTGGCTGCTTGAAGTGGGTAGCTATAGCTACTCTGATGGCGCATGGTGTGCCCTTGGGGCTCCTGCCTGGCCACGCCCTCAGTCTGCTTACAGACCCCGGGGCCACAGGAGCCGGGCTGTGTGGCAATGCATTTGCTGCGGGGGAGGTATCAGCACGGGGCCTGGGGCTGTGGGGACCTGGGGCTGAGTGGCAGTCACAGGAGGCGAGGCAAGCCCTGACAAAGGGGCCCACCAGGCATTTATCACCATGCCTGTGTGGAAGACACTTCACAGATCCAGGAGCGCAAATCTAGGAGCAGGCATTGAAGCCAGATGGTGGTGGTGCTGGTACCTGGCTGGAACGTGGCTTCCTGACAGTTTTCCAGCCCTCAGGTCTTGCAATTGTCCCATGCATGTGGATCGTAACCACGACCCGCTTCCTCCTTCCCAGTCTGCATGCATGTGTGCGTGCGTGCACACGTGTGTGTGTGTGTGTGTGTGTGTGTTGGCACGCAATTGTTTAGAGAGGTGGCTTCCCAAAGCACACACAGGGGCTCCTGTGCATTTTATCTCATGCCCGAGGAGTGGTTGAGATGAAGCTGTTGGGCCATTGCGAAGGGCTGTAGATGGATATGGTGGCCTCTGGGGACAGGAGTGGCAGATAAAGTGGCTCAGGAAGGAGACTTAAAGGGACAGCAGTGAAAAGGAGCTGAGTTGGTAGAGACTCTGCCCCCCAGGCTCACTACTTGGGGGAACTGTGGCTCAGTTTAAGGGGCTCTGTGGGCAGTGCCAGAGCCAGGATGACCGGGTCCTTTCCTGTTGTTTGACTAAAGACCGGGTTAAACACTGTCTGGTGAAGCTGGTGTGGTAGCACACTGCTGTCTTCCCAGCACTCTGGGAAGCCGAGGCAGAAGGATTACAAATTATTGTCCAGCTTGGGCAGTTTAGCAACTCAGGCCCTGTCTCAAAATTAAAAATAAGGAAAAACATCTGGGGATGTAGCTCAGCGGGAGGAGCCTGGGTTCAATGCCCAGTACCAGTAAAAGAAAAACGTTTGGTGAAGGTTCCCGAATAAAGCTGTTCAGGAGAAGACGGAATGTGCTGGGCCTGGGTCACTTTGGCTCCTTCACGGCCCCAGTGCCTCATTCCTAGGTTGTGGTTCTCTCACTGAGGATTTCTGTCGGAAAATCTGTGCCCAAGGCAAGGGGGACGCGCTTCTACTGTCAGCTCCTCTGCATACCCATCACCACGGGGTGCTGGCCGTGGGCTGACCCCGTGTTTCTGCATGAAGGCAAGGGGGCCCAGACTGTTTTCTCTTGTCAGATGTGCTTGAAATAAGAAGGCTGTTGGCTCTAGTCAGACAGCCTTTTTTTTTTGTACCGAGAACTCAGGGCCTTGTGTTTACCAGGCAGGCACTATTGCCACTGAGCTACATTCCTGGCTAGACAGCCTTTTGTTTGAGAGAGCATTTTGAAGCAGAATCTGATAGTAGTGAAACAGAAATGTAGTTTGCCAGATACGGTGGCGAAGGCCTACAATTGTAGCACTTGGGAAGCCGAGGCAGGAGGGTCTCAAGTTTGGGGCCAAACTGGGCTACACACAAAGTGAGTTCTGGCTCCAAAAAAAAAATTATTCCTAAGCTGCTGCTACTGGGTTCTTGGTAAAGCCTCTGAAGAGTCCACTGTGTGATTCATCCGGATTAACTAGGATGAGGCAAGGGCGGATGTGTACTGCTGGTTTCTGCAATATTTTCTTGTTTTTCCTTCTCTTCCAGTTTTAAGGGACATCAGTGAAAGAGGGCGTGACCTGGAGCAGATTTTATCGCAGTACATTACATTTGTCAAGCCTGCCTTTGAGGAATTCTGCTTGCCAGTGAGTTGGGTTCTCGGTTTGTTTATGCTGAATGTACCACAGGAAATTTAACCTGTGGGAGCGACCTGAGTCTTGACTCTCACCCCTCTCTCTGAGCAATCCCTGTCCTGAAGTTCCAGGAGAGTGCAGCCTGGGGCTGTGGGTCGCCTCTGTGGGCTCTCCTGCTCCTCCTTCTCCCAGAGCCCTTTGGGGTTGGGCCAGTCCTACACCCACCTTGATACTCCCAGCAGGCTTTGCACTTCTTGCTCTGTGGGGCCTCAGCCACAGTCCTTATCAGTGAGGGGTCCCTGTAGCTAAGGACAGGCTTAGCCATAGGGGCCTCAGGAGGTGCTGCCCCCTGGTGGTCCCTTCCCTAGTGATCCCCCCCCATCGGAAGTGCTGGGCTCCCCGGCATAGCGTGAGTCCTTACTTCCGTCCTGGCATAGACTCAGCAGCTGCAGCTGGGCATGCTCTGGGAGATTCTCAACTACATCCTGGGAAAGGTGGGAACGGGCATGTGGAGTACCATACCCGGGAGAGAGGGGTGCCACAGACTGGGGCTGAGGGTGGAGGAAGACACGGGCACCAGCCTAGGGTTAGAGGGGAAGTGGTCTGCTCTGGAGAATCCTACACCCAAGTTATCATGCCTTCTTTAGCTCAGTCAAACCCTGGGCTATTTAATTCTGAGATATGGTGAAATGTACATGAATATTTAAATTTTTTTTTTTTTTTTTTTTTTAGTACTGGGGATGGAACTCAGGACCTTGGGCTTGTGAGACAGGCACAGTGCCACTGAGCTAAATCCCCGGCTAAAATTTTTGTTACAGTAGAAGACACATTGCCATTAATTTCCCCCAGAATGTTCCCTCTGGTGACAAACACATTTATGTCATTGTTCTTGTCCCCCCCCCCCCCTTTGGAGACAGGATCTCTCTATGTAGCACTGTTCAGGCTGGCCTTGAACTCACTATGTAGCCCAAGGTGGCCCTGAGCTTGGGGTGGATCCGCCGGCCTCAGCTGCCTGACTGCTGGGGTTATAGGTGTGTACTACCATGCCTGGCTTTGTTCTGTTTTTTCTGAAGTAACTCTGAAAGTCCTCTTTCATAAGTATCTTTATAAGTGGTATTAAAAAGAATGGTGAATGCTGCTGCTGAGTGCCATCTAGTGGAAAGGCAGTCTTGGAAAAACATCACTGTGTGTCCTCCTCCACCTTATTCACTGGGTCCGCCAAGTGACTTCTGGCTCTTCCCCAAAGTCAAAATGACCATGAAATGGAGTTGATTTGAGGGTAGTGAGGCAACCATGACAGCACTGCTAAAGACACACAAGAGCACTTTCAGAACTGCTGCAGAAGGTGGCAAGAGTGATGGGATAAATGGCAATGTGGTTTTACTGTTACTAATTTTAAAAAATTCATCATGTTTAGATCATCCCTTACATTTATTAAGATCTGAGTGACACTGCAGAGGAGGAGTTGATGGGACACAAACCTTGTTTTGAGTAAGATCTTTTGGGAAGACCTTGAAAATAGGCTGATGGGAATTCCTGGCTGTGGGAATTCCTCTGTCCCTCTGATAATGATTTCTTCCTTTTCTTGGAAGCATGTTCCCAACCCAGCCCTGTTTAAGCCTGATAGCAGGCTTTATGTTAAGCCAGACTTATCTTTGGTTTTGGATCAGGGAGACTTTTCTGAGCCAGCTAGGGTGACCTTGCACCTTGTTCAGTGTCTGCGTGTGGTTTGGGTTACAGGAGTCAGCTGGCACAGGCTGATGGACTGTGAAATTCTTTCCACCCACTGAGCTATCTGAGGCGCTTCCTTCTCTTTTTCCCTTAATACTAAGACTACAGAGTGAATTCACATTGGATCTCATTATCTGCCCTGCCCATTTTCTGCCATCTAATGAAGCCGGAAGGGAGCAGAAGGTTCTGGACAAATGTTTTCTGGGTGGTTCTGCCTCTTCCCACTGGGAAGCTCTGTTGTCCCCGGGGATTCGCCCTTGTAAGCCAGGATCTACCTTGGCACTGAAAAATGTCTAAGGCGTTCAAGTACGGCTGGCCCTGCTGCAGTTGGATATGTTTGGTCCTGGCCCCAGGATCTGGTTGCTTGGGTCGAATGCCAGGACACACTTATATGAAGAATGAAGAATGGTCCCCAGCATCATCTCAGTAAATTAAAATAAAACAATACACACAAAGGAGGAGCATGTCTATTTATGTCCCTCCTCAAGTGTGGATTACTTTTTGTTTTTGGTACCTGGGATCGAACTCAGGACCTTGTGCTTGTGAGGCAGGTGCCAGAACCACTGAGCTAAATCCCCGGTCCCTTGTGTGGATTACTTTTTAAAAATCTTTACCCTGGGGCTGGGAGTGAATATTGTCACCTTTTAGATTGAAAAAGCCCAGGGTAAACCAGCCCTCTTTTAGATACTTTTTTTTGGTTGTTTTCTGGTGGCACTAGCAGTTAAACCTTGGACCTCATGCATGCCAGGCAAACGCTGTGCCACTGAGCTAGCTACATCCCCAGCCCTTTTTATTTTGAGACAGTCTCACTGACTTTCCCAGGTTGGCCTTAAATTTGTAATCCTCCTGGCTCTGCCTCCAGAGTACCTGGGTTTAAACTGTACATGACCACACCTGGCTAAGTTTGGGTTTTTCCCATTTATATTTCTCCTGGCATTGGAAGCACTTAGGTGTTTGGTTTGAAGACCATGTTCTCTGTTCAGATAGGTGAAAAATGGAGGGTAAGCAGTAAGAGCTCAAAGACTGGGAATATAGTTCAGTGGCAGAGCCCTTGCCTAGTGTGTGAAGCCCTGGGTTTGATTTCCAGTGCTGCAAACACGCAAAGATGACCCCAAACCTCAAGAAACAGCTAATGCATTATAATCTGGATGCAAATTGATGAAAACACAGGACAGGTAGTTAAAAGTTGGTTTAGATTCTCCTGTGAGTTGGGACCACATCCGAGCCCCCATTCCTCATTCCAACCCTCTCATTCCCTGCCTCCCTTCCCCCATCCGCCTTCAGCGGGACCAGGCTCTTCGGGACCAGGCTCTTCCGGGACCAGGCTCTTCCGCAGGTCTCCCTGCCCCCCGGGCGCCGCCTGTCTGTGGGCTGTGCCAGAGGCAGGCGGGCCTCTCCCACCAGAATTCACTGTAAATGTCTTTCTCATAGACAAAGAAGTACGCCGACGTGATCATTCCTAGAGGTGCAGATAATCTCGGTGAGTCTCCCGCGCCGCCTCCTGTGGGAGGAACTTCCGCCCTTTGTCCCTTGAGGTTTAGGGCAGGTTGTGGTGACCCAGCTAGGCTCTGCAGTGTGACTGAGCCAGTAGAGCGCTTCTGTCCACGTGGCTGCCCTTGGGGACAGGCCCTTGGGAACATGTGCTCCCCCACCCTCGCAATAGGCGCTGGGCTGCCATTTGCCGTCACCACCTTAGTGGTAGTTGCAAGAGACCACCTTTCAGCCAAAGTACAGGACCTGCCAACATGCTGCCCTCTGGAAAGGAGCAGGTTGGTTGTAATGTATTTAGCCATGTGCTTTGCCTTATCTAGCAAGTGGATGATGACACAGGGCCCTACCTTGCATGTCTTCACATTCTCTTTATAATTTGTTTCGTTTTTCCTTCATACAAAAAATGTATTTTAGCCAGGAGCAGTAGTGCATGTGCTCTGGGAGGCTGAAGCAGGAGGATTACAAATTTGAGCCCAGCTTGGGCAACTTAGCAGCTTAGTGAGACCCTGTCTCAAGATTAAAAAGGGCCAGAGATGTAGCTTAGTGCAAAGGCCCTAGCTAGGTTCAATCCCCAGTGTTGAAAGAAATAAAAAATGTATTTGCTTAGCTGTTTGGAAGTTCATCACAGTTAGTAATATTTCATTGCATATTTTTATTTTTATTTTTTATTTTTTGGTACCGGGGATCGAACTCTGGTCCTTGCTCTTGCGCAGCAGGCAGCGAAACCACTGAGGTAAATTCCTGGCCCCATTGCATATTTTTAAAAGAACAAGGACATTCTTGTTCAAAACACAGTGCAGCCAGGCATGGTGGCACACACCTATAATCCCAGCACTTGGGAGGCTAAGGCAAGATCATTGTGAGTTCAAGGCCAGGTTGGACTACGTAGTGAGTTCAAGTTAGCCTGAAATATGCAGGGAGACCTTGGCTCAAAACAAAACTCAACAAACAAACCACAGCACAGCCATCCAACTCCATTGGTGCCGTTGAGATTTTCTCCTTTACCTGGAGCTGTCCCTCCGCCAGTCTTTGGTTATGGAGACACTGGTGTGTTAAGTGTCTGGTCTGCTTGTTGGCCGGGCTGGCCCTTGATTAGGTTTCATCCTGTTTCTGGTGGCTGTGCAACCTGGGGTGACACGGTGTCTTCCTGCATCACAGCTCAGGGCACTTGGCGTTGGTCCCATTTTTTGTCACATTGAGAGTGACCGGGTGGTCAAAGTGTCTGGGTTATTTCTGATGCTGACTCAAGACAACCTGCCCTGTGGCTTTGAGGGGTTGCGCCGTGCGGGGAGGGAGCTGTAGGATCTTCAGCACAAGGCGTCATGGCAGAACCCCGGCTAGTGGTCAGGTCTGCAGTGTGCGTCCCCTTGGGGCTCTGGTGTCACCTGATAAAGCCCTTCAGCGGGCGTGGCCTGCCTTGCTCCTGAGAGGGAGTCGCCTTGGCCAAGCCAGAGCCCCAGGGCTGAGTGACTGGTCCTGGCGTGTCCCTGGGCCCGGTGCCCCTGCCCTGCACGTGTCTCTCTCCCTAACCTGCTCTCTCCACTCCTGCAGTGGCCATCAACCTCATTGTGCAGCACATCCAGGACATCCTCAACGGAGGGCTGTCCAAGCGGCAGACCAATGGCTGTCTCAATGGCTACACACCTTCGCGCAAGAGGCAGACGTCGGAGTCCCACAGCCGGCCGCACTGACCCGCTGGCTTGCACCCTGTGCATACGGTCTCCCAAGACGTGACTGTACTTAAGAATTAACACCACACAGATGACATGCCTTGGGTTTTCCCCTTTATTCCTTTTTGTACTTTGGAACGGCAAAATCAAGCAGAACTTGACCTTGAGCTTAAATGACAAACTCTGCCAACTACTACTGGTGATGCCTGATTGAGTCCAACATGTAACCAGTTATAAATACATACTATATATAGATATATATAAAAGGATCTATTTTTGTGTAAATGTACAAATACTGTAAAGCTATTTGCCATAAGTATTTTGCAGGGCCTATGCTTGAGTGTTGGGGCCTGGCCCAAGAGTGACATTGAGGGGATCTGGGGATTTGTCCAGGGAGCGGAGGGCAGCTGTGGATCTCCCCTTGCCCTTGGCGCTGGCAGAGCTGATGGTGTTGTTTGGAAACTCCCAACGGCTGCCCGGTCCCACCCGTCTCCTTGCAGTTGGTGCTTGATGTGTTGATGAGGGACGCTCCTGTCTTTTTTTTTTTTTTTTTGGGTTGAAATTCAATAAGATCTCAACTCAATTCAAACTCAGGGAAGAGGCCCACCAAGGAGAGCAAGTCTTCTGCATTCCTCCCTGCGGCTCCCTCACCCAGCCTCTCTGCCTCTCCTTCCCTGGCCAGGCTTTTTCAGGAAGAACTGGGGAGGCGAGAGTGGAACCAGGCCCGCTCAGATGTCCTCTCACCTCCCAGGGAAGTAACTGATCACATTCTTTGGATGCTCTCTGTCTTGTGGGATACAGAACGGACCCTTGCAGTCCGGGCTTTGATTGGGGACATCCGGTAAAGGAACTCTGGCCATATGAGCGGCAGTAGCTCTTATTCCCTGGACCCATGGACCCTCAGTGGCACGTGCCTTTCACCAGGGATTCTCAAGTCACCACAGGGCAGGGGGATTGACTTCATCATAGCATCGCCATGCGAATGTGGCCACTGCCAGGTGGGAGGAGCCTGGGGAGAACAAAACCTTTCTCAAAAGTATTTAAAGCCTGAGTGCCTAAGCAGAGGTTGTCCTGTCAATGGAGACCGTCCTAGTGCGTGGTAGCCCACGGCCATTGTCACTCCCTGTGGCTGTTGTTGCCTGCCACCCTCTGGAGAGCCTTCTCCCCGTGAGGCTCTTGAGCCCACCGAAGCCGTGCAGGTCACTGTGACTCCATTACTGTCCAGTCACACTGAGCTGAGCCCCCCACCCCCCACCCCCGCCCCGTACACCATGCAGTTTGATTCCTCTTTTCTGGATTCAGGTTGTCTCCAGATCTGTTTTGCTATTTTGGTAAAGTCAACCCTAGTCCTCAGCAGAGCTTTGCTGCCCCAGCCCTCAGGAGGCCGTGTGGCAGGGCCTGGTGGCCATTCCTGGGGACAGGAGGGCAGCCGGTGCTCACCACAGTCCCCAGTCGTGCTGTGCACAGTTCTGAGGTGAGGGGGCATGAGGCCTGGATTAGGACCCTGAGGGCACAGGGCCCTGGCCTCCCTGGGCTCTCTGTGCTGGGGGACACCTGCCTCAGTCTGGGGGTGCCTTGGCCTTTAGTGGGTCACATGCTCAACTTTACTTGAAGCTCCCAGGTGCCAAACCATTTAGTGCCTTGGCTGCCTGTCCCACTGCCTTAGAAGAGGGATTCTTCTCATCTCCGAGCCTTGACCCGCTGAGCCGCTTCCTCATTTATCTACCTGTGGTGTTGGGACCAAGGCCCCAGGATCCCCGAGGAGACCCCTCCTAGCTTGGGACGCAGCTTGAAGGTGCCCCTGTCCCCGCCACGTTGTGAAATGACCACCAGTTCTTGGTGGCTCAGCTGGGCACTGTGACACTGCATCTGGAGAGGTATGAGGAGCTCTTCCCCTCTGGGGCAACCCAGCATTTTAGCCACTTGTGTATCTGCACTCGAGCTTTCTCTAGGACAGATTGTGGTCGGAGTCTTGGGTGTCTCTGGACCTGTGTTGGCACTAGAGTCGGGTAAAATGGTTAGACTGGAACCTGTGGCTTTTGTTGTGGGGGTACTCTGCCACACAGGGAGGAGGCACCAATGTGCAGAGCGGGGCATTGTTGGTCGCACGTGTGTGGAGCCCTTGGCTTCACAGTCACCAATGCTGTTTGCTCCCCAGTCCATGGACCAGGTGTCCAGGGGACAGATACCCACTCCTGGGTCACAGCAGGGCCTGGCCTCACACTCCGTCATGCTGCTCCTCCTTCTGCTGGCCTGAGTTTCTCATTCTTGGGCAGCCTGGGACTAGGATGAGCAAAGACAGATTTGAGAAGGGTACAAACATTGTGAACTCAGTGTCCTTTGGAGTGGACAGGGTCCGGAGGCAGCAGGGCCTGCAGAAGAGGGTGGGGGAGGGAGGGTCTCCAGTGCACAGGTGCAGGGAAGTTGGCTCCTCCTCTCCCACCCTTGAAATTGGATCCTTGTCATCATGCCCAGGGCAGATGCCAGGTTCTGGAGGCCACTGGATCAGGCTGAAGCCTTGCATGATCCCCAAGCAGTTGGAAGTGGGGAGACCTGGAGCCTGGCTGGTTGTGTGTTAGCTCCATTCCTGCCCTCCCACAGCCTCCTTGATATAGCAACTTTGACCTGGGCTAGTGCCCAAGACCTTTGGAGGGAAGTTGGCTTTTGCAGGGAGCTGTTCTCCACCACTGTAGAGTTTGTGGCTGTCAGGGATCCCAGCACCAAGGGATGGGCTGGTGCAGGCGGGAAGCTAGGGCTGGTCCCAGGGTGTAGGATGGTGCTTCCAGGAGGAGGCAGCTGACTGTTGTCTTCCTGGCCCTTGGAGTGGAGTGAGGGGAAAAATTTGGGATGCCAGACAAAACCAGATTGGGAAAGGCTCGGATGGGATGCATCTGGGGCCTTTCTGCCTTGGGGCTTCTGCTGTCCTCTGTGTCCCAGGTGCAGGTGACAGGTGTGACAGACCAGCTGTGTTACTCTTCCGTGGCAGTGAAGATTGAGATGAGCGGCCGAATAGATTTGGGCTTTTCCTTCCCTTTAAGATGCTTGCACTCCCCCTTTTTTTCCTGTTGCAAAAATGACCACATATGATGTACCTTGCTGTAAATAAAGACTGAACAGAAAAGATCCAGCTGTTGCCTTTTTTGTGATGCTAGGGCAGGTGCAGCCCCTGAGCCCGCTGGCTGCGGGAACGCTGCCCTTGCAGAGAACACATGGTCACCAAGCGTGCTGTGGGGAGGCCTCGGATCCTGGGATGTGTGGGGCTGACTCCGGCTGAGGCTGGGCCGGGGTACTGGTAGGATCCCACTTCTCACCAAGCACAGAGCCTGAGCCAGGGGTTCTGGGGAGATCTTGGTTCTCCAGACATTCTGGCTCTGTTCCCCTGATGTCATCCAGTTCCTTCTTCCACTTCCACATAGAGAACAAAAACAAAACCTAAGTGAAGTAAACTTCTGAATGCGATGCGTGGAGGAAAGCTTGCATCATACATGCCATTTCCAGCTGGATATACAAGCACTCTGTGTACTGCAGTGAGTGAATGTGTTCCTGTGCCTCTCGTTTTTAAAAGGCCTAGGTCACCTACCACCGAGGACTTGAAAAATAAGTGTCCTTCTCAGTGCAGCACACTAGCTCCTGCCAGCTCTCTGGCTCTTGCTCAGCTCCTGTCATCTTCCACTGCCTGCCAGACCGTGGTGACCTGTGGAGGTGAGCATAGTTCTTTCCGGCCACTTGTTCCCCTGTGACTCAAATGGCTACACAGCTAGGAATTGAGCAGATCTTTTAACAGGACTCACCCTGGGCAGGCTGCTGCTTTCAGATGACACTTAGGTGGTCCTGGAGCTGATGCTATCAAGTCCTGCTGTCACCACGAGCTGCAGGGCTTGCTGCTGGACACAGTCATGTGAGCCATTGCTCAGCTGTGTCCTGGGCCCCTCTGCTCCCCGTCCTCCCCACCAGGACCACCCTGGGAGGCACCAGGGTGCAGGCCAGGGATGCCCTGACTGGGTTTGTTTTGTGCTCCCACCTGTGTCACAGTGTACTGTGTGCCAGGTCCTGCCTCACACCCGGAGACACTTGTCTGACTGGTGCTGCTATAATCAAGCCAGGAAGGAGGCAGCTCAACAAGCCAGCTAGGGTCTACTTAGAGGCCTTCATTGTAGTTTTTGTGGTACTTGGGATTGGACGCAGGGACTTCACACTGACCTACATCCCCAGCCCTTGAATTTTTTCTTTTGAGACAGGAGGTAAAGGCAGAAGGACACAAAATCGTGCCTTAGGCAAGTTTTCCCCACAGCCGAGTCCCTGGTTTACCCTCACGGTCTGTCTGGGCTGGACACGGGATGCCCACAGCAATGGGGTTCAATGCAAACTTCATTGACTTATGACTGTCCAGGTCCATGGAAAACCAGGGTGCCTCTGCCCAAGGAGCTTGCATGTCCAGGAGTCTGTCACACAGCTAGTTAGCTGCGGGTGTTCCAAGGTTCCTCCTCAATCGGTGCCATCTTCTGTCCCTGAGATTTCTCCTTTATTGTAATAGTTGGCAGTCAACCTTTGCAGCCTTTGTTACACTTTCTCTTTAGCCTTAAAACAGTCCTGCAAGATGTAAGGAATATGGGCATCCTCCAGATTTAGCAAGTATGAAACTGGTTGAACTCAAAACAATTGTGAGGAAATGCTTTGTAAAGATGGCCTAGTGCGTATCTGCCAGCTAGTGGTGAGGTTCAGATTGCAGCTGGTAGGTTGCCTTTGAGTTGCTGGACTAAGGAAATTTGGCTGTCCAGTATGCGCTAAAAGAGTTGCCAAAGTGCCCTTAGAAGTCTAAACTACTCAGATGTGATTTTTATCGCTCCCTCGGAAATATTAAAGGCTTCAACAGAGTAGGTAGAGACTGACCCTCAATTTCTCTGGCTAGAATCCAGTGTAGTTGTTTCACAAACTGCAATCTCAGTGGGGTCTTATTGCAAATATTACTGGGATCCATTCCTGGGAATCTAGGGAGGAAATCCTTTCTAGCAGACAGTACAGGTGACTCAGATATACAGACAAAGTTGAAAATAAGGAAGCTTGTATTTTAATTGCTTTCAAAATCTGGTGTTCACAGCATCAGGAATCCCATTTCTCCCAGGAATGTGTTGTGCTGCATAAGGCTCCCCTGGGCTGGGTGGAGACTGGAAAGAGGGCTTGGATGCCGTGCGCTGTGATTTCCCTGAGGAAGTTCTTGGGCAGTCTGCCAGAACTCGATAGGAAGTCATCTAGTCCAAGGGCCTTCAGACGTGTCTCAGTCACGGAGCCCCACATGGAATCTTGCCTGGAGCCTCACTGTCAAAAACAGAAGCAAAACCATGTGGTTCAAGCTGGCAAGGGGATTTCAAGCCTCACTTCACCCCTTTCTTGATAATTCTCAGGTTTTTCTTGGAAGCCAGGGTAGCCCAAGCTCCTTATTCCACATGTTGAGGAAATGGCCTAGAGGCAATCAACTGGGCCCAGATCCTACTGGTGGGCTCTGGGGTGGGTTAGGTTAGGGCTACAGCTCGGGGTCTCAACAGACCTAGAGTGAAACTTGGGTTCCTCCCTTAGCAGCTAGCGTGGAGTCTCTGGCAAGCTGCCGGCCTTTAGTGTCCACACCTGTAACCTCGAGCTGGCCCCCACCGCACCCCTCCTTTGCCCAGAGCGTTGTGTGAGTGGACGAAGGCCGAGTGGTCCACCTGTGCCTGGGGATGGAGGTGCCCAGAGTGGCCGTGACTGTGCCCTCCCCAGAGCTGGGCTGTGGGCAAGACTGACTTGTGGGGCATCTGGGAGGGGTTGGCTGGTTAGGGAAGGGTCCCTAGAGAGATTCCTCAGTAGGTCCTAGAGTCCTGTCCCAGGTGAACCTCAGCTGCTGCCAAGGGGAGCACATCAGAACCACGGCGGGACATCTTGGTGCCCGGACAGGTCTGGGGGTTTCCCTAAGGCTCTGAGCCTCTGAGACCAAGACCTACCTGCTTCTGAGCCTCTTGCTATCCTGATGCCCACCCTGGGGAAGGTTCTGAGAGGGAAATTGGGTGCCTGGATGGACTAAGGAAGGATATCTGTCACACATACTTTTCGTAATTTAAAATGGGCCCTCACATTTAATGGTGTGTGTTTTAGGACCTCAAACTGTCCTGGCATCAAAACAGCAGTCAGATATTATGTCCTCCATTCTACAGAGGCAGCCTGAGAGTCAGACTGCTGAGTGGCCCTGGGTGTCTTCAGTGGGGAACTCCTTTGAGGCCCAGGGGCTCCCAACACTTGGGGTTGCCAGCACCCTGGCTGATGAATGTGCCTCATTGTTTTCATTTTTAATAGTTTTTTTATTTGTCGGTGCCTCAGACTCCTCTAATCTACAGAAGGACACCTCAGAATAATGTTTTTGCATATATGAAATAACATCCAAAAAATCAAAGGAAGCATGCTAAATACAGGTACCAAAATCTAAGCACAAATCTGCAATATAGTAATGTATGTGTTGCTTGATTAACACATCAAGTAACAAGATTCAGGCAACAGGTCCAATATCCACAATTTTGGGTTAGTGATGAGTCCGTAATGACCTATTGGGATTCTCCAACCACCATGTTTATGGAAATAACAGTGATTTCCCCTGCTGATGAGTGCAGCTAATAACTCTACAATGTGTTGCCTGTGAATTACCTCCATAGTGGAAGGAAATGCTAACTTTCTTTTAGAGGCTTATGAAAATAAAGTTGTCAGTTTTTAAGTTCATGGATCAGCTTCTGTCCTCAGTCCTCCAATTAAGAACCCCTGGTCTAGATCCAAATCTTCCAGGTCTCTTGGTGACCAAGGTAGACTGGAGGTGTCCCCTTTACTGTGTGTTTAGGGAGCTGGCAGTGGTGCTTAGTTTCTTGTGAGACAGCTGTGCCAGCCTGGCCAGGGGAAACAGTGAGGACCACAAGTGTAATTTAGCATGAAATGATAAAAAGCGGGTGAAATTAACTCTAGCATATTTTTATTTACATATTCAAAATATTATTTCATCATATAGTCAGCATATTGATTATTCATGAAATGTTTGGCATTCTTTTTTCTTTGTGTGTGTGCGCTTCGCATTGTTTTGCATGTGTTTGACATTGTTTTGCGCTCAGTACATCTCAGTTTGGGCTAGCCACATGTCAAGAGCTCCTTGGCCACATGGCTGGTGGCTCACTGGCCGCGCAGTGGGTCATTATAGTTAGATATATCTTGTGCCGGGCTGGGCAAGGATCCCAGCTGAATGTTCTCTGTGCACTAAGGGGATTCTGGGGCTGGGACAGGGGAGGAGGGCACTCTCCCAAGATCATGGCTACCTAACTAGAGAGCAGAGTTTTGGTGAGCACTGGTCTAAAAGGGTTTTGCCATCATATTGCTCTATAATAAAAAGTTTGTCTTCTCAGCCCTCAGGCTGCTGGAAGGCCTGACTCCTAAGGGGAAGCCCAGTTCTGGGCCCTTCCAATAGGTAGTTAAGGCTGAGGCTGGGTGAATGGCTACAGAGCAGAAGAGAAGGGGTCCTGGAGGAGGAAGGGCTGGAGGGACAAGGACTGGGTCATCTCACCACACAGAGTAAATGCAATGAACGAGGACAGAGTGAATCTCTTGCTGAGAATTTCAGGGTGGGACACATTAAAAATCTGATTATCCCACAGAAGCCAAAAGGGGATGATTAAGAAATGGAAGGCAGAGATTACTGGTGATCTGAGCATTACTGGGTGGGGATCCTGGGGGCCTCCTCCAGGTCTTCTAAACAAAGAACTGGACAAAACACAGAAAGGACAGCAAGGGTGCAGATTTATTGAAGGCAGGAAGAAGCAGGCTCTACAGAGGGAGTGCAGGCTGGTGAGGAAGGCCCACAGCAGCTCCAAGGGTAAAGGGAAAGGGGCCTTCAGTAGCTGAAATACTGGATTGGCCCCCACCTCATACAGAGATGGCACTGGGACAATTGTCTTATCAAAAACTCACTGGCCTCACAACAGATGTAAATTGTCCTATTGAAAAACTCATTTGTTCTCACCAGATGTAAAGGAGGGTCAGGACTAGTCTCATAATTGATCACACCCATATGTAAATGAAACGGTGGGAATAGCATCTTCTGATTGGTTCCATGTACAGTG